GTTCCCCAGACCAGTTCACCAAACTCACAATTATGTTAATATCTGTCCAAATACATGTTACATCAAAACAAACAGGTTATACCAAAGCCATCAGCGGTTTACTTAGTTGACAAAATAGTCCCCAAACCACTGTCTAAAGGGTGACCTTGCTCACCTGATCCCATGTCCTCCAAGGCCCAAGGTGCTGTCTGAATCACAGGGAGCACCTCTCTTCCTGTGAGACAGATTGATCCACTCAAAGATCTGTTTACACTAAAAAAGTGTGGTTCTTCTCCGAAGGTCCCAGGACTGGGACAATCCGCAGCTGTTTGTCTGAACGATCTGGCAGTGAGAAATGAAGCTAACTCCAGGACCAAAGCAATCAAGGGTTCATTTCTCATCAGCCCATAAGCGAGGGGTATCACATTCATGGAAGTGCTTTGGATTCCTGAGTTTCCTGCTCATAAATGCTTTGGCAAGAGGCATGGTCTCAAGAGCACCTGCCCTGGTTTGCAATGGGGCAGAAGCTGATCCCATGGTCTCTGACCAGAATGAGCTCAGCTCTTGAAATGAAACAGCTCTGCCAGCTTCTTCATCATTACTAGTCCTTGCCACAGTGGCTCTTTAAAAGGCGTGAAGCATTTACTTTAAATATCCTTTTTATTGACATGCACAACCTTCTTCCTATGCAAGAGGAAATCAGGAAGAATATATTCCTTCAATTTCCAATCAAGTTGATTATTCTGCAGACATGCTGCAGTCTTTTTCTTTCTTTTATAAAACCCCATCTCCTATAACCACTCTAATGCAGTTGTTCATTTAGAGTTTTGAATGTGCTTTCTTGTCCCTATGCCACATATCACAGACTATGAGCTGACATTCAAGTCACCCAGAATTTTTCTTCTGTAGAAGTCCACATATCAACTAATACCTACTGCAGAAGTGAGCCCTTCGTCCGCAGCTGTCGCTGCTGAAGTAGCAGATGCATCTGCTGGACTGCAGTAGTGACTCTCTCCACCTTCTTGTTGAAAACAGCATTCCTGGGACACTGATGTGCCCTGTATCCTGCTGGTGACAGCTGACAACATCCCCACCTCCCCCCCAACCCAAGACTGGCTCATGACCTACATCATAGGGCATGTGGGCTGCAGTGATCTCCACCCGTTAACAGCTGCTTGACTTGCATCAGCTCGGGGTGTCTGGGCAGTGAGGGAGGCTCGGCAGCAGGGGCCCAGTGTGGGGACCCTGGCTTCCTGCCAGCCAGAGCCACAGAACTCTCTACCCATCCCCAGGTGATTCCTCATGTAATTCATTTTCTGCCCAAACTTCATGGGAACGTGGACCATTTACTGCCATGAGACTGTCCTTGTCCTGAATACTTTCCTGAGCTGATCACTGTGAAGTTGAGGGACATTTCCCAAATCACACCATAGAGCGGGGAGCCCTCATTCCCTACACTCCTTCAACTTCTCTTACCATAGAAATGATGTAACTAAGAATAGAAAGCATGGCTAAAACCTAAGGACTGATCTGGAACTATAGGATTTGATTTCTGCAACTCTGAATGGGCAGGAGAAAAAAGAAAATACGTTTGCATTCTCATTTCTAGCTCTAGTAGTAAGTATCCAAACCAAAAATATGGCTGGATTCTCACATCAAGGAAGTGATTTCAACTAGGAAGCACCACTCTTTGATTACCATCTCAAGCTTGGGGGGCTTGCTCTCAGATTGCTTATCCTACTGTTATTAATGTTTTAACAATCCTCATGTCAATTCCATATGTGTCATTCCTTGTTTGTCTAGAAGGGAGCACTTCCGGAGACTGCTTGGAAGAAGTAACTACCTCCCTAGCTGTGCCCCACCTCCAACCAAGTTTTTCACAAATATGCTCCAGCCCCCAGCCTGTCCTAACCAGGCAGAAATCAGGCCCACATGAGAAGCACTGGAGCCCCAGGAGGAGGGATCCCTCTGAGGCCACACCTGGAGTTTACTTTTGCCATTTCTGATAAATACTGAGTATTCTCAGGAGGGAAGGAAAGGTATTAGAAAGGGTGAGTTAGGGAAAATGAGGATGGGATTATGTCAATGAATCTGCCTCAGTTTAAAGACTAGCAGGACTAGACCGGGATGAAAAATAGAATTGAGAGTGAGCTCCCAATTCAACGGAAATCAGCTCCAAACTACCTGACCAAAATTCAAAATATCCTTTTCCTTCAAAGACTTCCGTTCAACCAAGGGTCTGGCCTAGAATAGCAGAGCTTCCTCTCTCCTTACAATGACAGATGAATAATAAATGTTCCAAGTCAGAAAAAAAGATAATTTTTCCAACATTTTGATTATTGGAGATTGTATCCACGGCTAACAGCAATTCCATTTTGCAATTTAAAGTTCGTTTTGCCTATTGGAATTAGCTAGCCCCAATGATGATGAGGTTATGTTAGGACTTTGGAAGAGTCATTAACTATTTCAAACCATTAAAAAATATATATAATGCCTACAGAATATCAAAGCAATTAAGTCAAATAGGAAAAAAACCTAGCAATTAGGCTTTTTTTTTTTTTTAGGTATCATATAGCTAAACTTCTAAAGAAAAACATTAAAAACATAACTCCTAAATTCTAATTCTGGTCTAATAAGGCTTAAGTCAAAATCAGCATGGTAAATTTCTTCACCTTAAAATGTTTTCCAAAGGATTGGCTGAATTTTAAAAAATCTTACTATTTTATTTTATTTTATTTTATTTTTGAGACCGAGTCTCGCTCTGTTGTCCAGGCTGAAATGAAGTGGTACAATGTCGACTCACTGCAACCTCTGCCTCCCAGGTTCAAGCGATTCTCCTGCCTCTGCACCCCTAGTAGCTGGGATTACAGGCACGCGCCACCATGCCCAGCTAATATTTGTATTTTTAGTAGAGACGAGGTTTCGCCATGTTGGCCAGGCTGGCCTCGAACTCCTTACCTCAGGTGATCCACCCGCCTCGGCCTCCCAAAGTGCTGGGATTACAGGTGTGAGCCACCACACCCGGCCAAATCTTACCATTTTATTATAAATAAATTTCCCACAAGTGAATGACATTGACTTAATTTTTTTTCTCCAAGAAAAAGGTTATCTATCCTCTAAAGGAGAATGTTATCTACTACTATATTTGAGTGTTATATATTAAGTAAAAATCTTATTACCTAGAAAATATAACTTATCAGGAGAAATATGACACTAAAAGTGACCAAAACTCCTTTGCTGTGGCTGGATGTGAAAGGTTAATCATGATTTCTAGCAAGAAGCTTATTCCAAGAAAAAATAAAATAAGCAGTAATTGTTCTGGCTAAGACATGAAACTTTCTAATGATGTAGAGCAATTGCTCATCTAATGAAGGGACTCGGTAAATAAATTACAGATTACTTTCAACTGATTACTCGGAAATAGGGAAATTTCCATTCCAGCAACTGCTCCTCAGAATTGAGAGAAACCTCTTGCTCATATCAGACCCCACAGTCAAATGTTTATTGCGAAAATACTGATAAAGAAATGTTACGGGAGTGAAAAACAGATACAGCCCAGAACTCTGCATTTGTCATTGATTACCATTTTCATACACACACACACGCACAGTTGCCAAAATTGTCTTTCATTTTTGAACATTTCTCCTTCATTACTAGGTAAAGAACAGAACATGTATACTATCAGAAATGCCAAATACGTAGTTGAGTTTCCGAAATTAGTATTTTCATCCATGTGCTCTAGTAAAGAAAACGGTCAATAAACAACACAGAAATGATCACAAACTTCCTCAACTCTGAAATCTCCACAAACGTTCAACTCTCTGGGAGCTTTCAGGTAGAAAGTTCTTATATAAGCACTTATCAACTTTAATGGTCTTTTTCAAGATACTTACAGTTAGACCATTGTAAGGATCACACTTCTGTCTGCACTCCGAATGGTGGTTCAGGCAACTTTGGGCCCTCCCTTCCTGTACTCCCTTTGTTGTGTTAGGGTAAATGAGTTACAGTAAGAACCCTGCAAATATCCTGCCTTGTGATTAAAACATTACCTTAATGCAGACTTTGTATTTTGGCTTCTATGAAGGCTTAAAGGTTAAAGGCATCATAAATTATGCATTTCTTTCTATGCCAGGCCTGTAAAAAGTGCTTTTACAGTTCATTAAAGATATTGCTTCTAAATGAGTACAGGCTTTTCTTTTTTTTTCTGCCAAAACAGAAACATTTCCATTATATTTATTACTGCTGTGCTGGAGAGCCAAAACAGTTTGGAATTAAGAAACTGCTAGAGTCTGTTGTTCCAGAATGTGTAGCAACTGTTAACATACACAGTGGAGTTGCCCATTCACTGTTTGGACAGTGATACGGTAAACATGGGCTAACACACAGGTCTGCTCCCGGGAGAATGATGGTCTGGTAAAGCCCAGAACACCAACAGTTAGAGTTTCCCCTTCTGCCTCTGCCCCAGTTTACAGATGTGAACAGGAATTAACCAGACACAAGACACACTAGAATGTCCCTAACTCCTGCAGTGGAGCAAGCTCTATCCTGTGGATTCTCCAGTACCACACATGTCCTTCCTACCCAGCACTCTGACTTCCTCACTTTTGTCACCTCCAGCTGAAGTACAGTCCTAAGAGTCTTTGTTTTTCTTTTACACTTACACGCAATGCATCTGCAGAAGGCTGGGCTCTTTATCTCAAGGAAGACCACACCCATTTTTCCCTTAGCTTTCAGGAGCAAACTGCCGATTTAGGGACCGAAGCTGGACAGAAGCGACCCAACTTCAGCCAGGCCACAACCTCCTTCAGCTCTGCACCTCGTCTGGTTGCGGGGGAGGATTCTGGAGACAGATTGCCAGCTTTAAGAGCCAGAGTTCCAGAGATTTCTTCCAGGAGACAGCCCGCACACCCTGACAACTCCGTGGCAAAGTTGCTTCTTCCTCCTGTGCTGCAACACCTTTTCCTCTCCACCTTTCCAGCAGCATACGCGCGCGCACACACAGCCTTGCTCACTCAACTTACCAGTTTAGATTTGGCGCGTTGCAAAAATTCTTCCATGTCGTGGCTAGGGGTTTGGAACCCGGGTACTAGGAGGGGCGCAGTGGAAAATCTCGGTACAAGGAAGAGGAGCAGGGTCCCGGGAAAGTGGCCCGCCGGGGCGCAGCGACCGACTGCTCCCTCCTGCCGCTCGGAGGCGGCTGCGGCTGAGGCTGTGCTTGCGCCCTCGGCCGTCTGGCCCCCGGGCTCCCCGCCCCACCCCTCGCCCGGCCGCCGGCTCTGGGCACTCGACTCTGCCCTAATAAGGAAAGTGGGTGTGCCGCCCGGGAGCCCCGGGGCGCGCCGGGCACGCTCTCTGGCACGCGCCTCCGGGGCCGTGGCGCGTGGGCGGAGGTGCAGGGGTATGGCGAGGGGCTCCTCCGCCAATCGCAGGGCCCTGCTGCGGCCTCCTGACGTGGAACGCCGAAAACTGCTGCAACCATGGACAGCGCCCAGAAGTGCGAGCCAAGTGCAAGGGGCTGCTGCAGAGGGAGGCTCTGCCGCAGGCACCGCCGCGGTCAGCGGGGGAAGGTGGGAAGAGGGAGACGGGTCCCAGGAGAGCCCCCGCCTAGCCCAGCGCCTCACTGGCTGGCTGGCGCGTTACGGAGCTCTCCGGCGGTCACTTAATGAGCTGGTCGGCAGGACTGGCCGGGGAGGCACTCAGCTAGATTGGCGTGGGAGGGACGGGGAGGGAAAGAGTGGGGGTTACTGCTGAGCTAAAAGCAGTACGACCTTGATGGATAATAATCAGAAGAGCAGGCTAGGAGGTTGGGCGAGGCTGCGTCTTTCCTCCCTACCATGAAAACATGCCCACACAGCAATGGGCATCCGCAGTTCACCCAAACGAGGTGCCCTTATGTCAGCCCTGGGACTAATGCGTAGATACATCCTTCTGCAGTTCCCATCCACTGACATGTACCCTCAGGGAAAGCTGGGGCAGTAGAACCTTGCTAAGGTGAGGTGCAGTCTGCAGACCAGCAACATCAGCATCGCTGAGCTTATGGAAATGCAGAACCTCAGTTCCCTGCTCCTACTTGCCAAATCAGAATCTGTGTTTCTATGAGATCCTCAGATGATTTCTATGCTTGTTAAAGTTTGAGAAGTACTACAATGAACAATTGAACTTATATCTACATACCCTATTTTAAACCATGGAGTTTTGTTGTATGTAGCTTTGTACGGTCCCCAAACACACTCCATCAGGCTTTCTCTGACCTCTGGGCTTTTGCACACCACCTGTAAGACCCTTCCAGCCCTTGTCCCAGCCCCCAGCTTCAGCTGTCCTAGAGAAACAGCCTCAACCCTGACTGTACAGTAAAATCACATCGTAATCACCGGAGACTTGAAAAAGTACTCATACCAGGGCTTTATGCCAGTCCAATTAAATTAGTATCTCTGGGCATGGGGTCACAGCATTTTTGTGGAAAATGACCCTAGTGATTCTAATGTGCAGTTCAGGTGTGATGTTCTGGTTCTCGATGAACTTTACACGTATCTAAATCACTTACAGGGCTTGATGAAACACAGATTTCTGTGCCACATCCTTAGAATTCTTAGGTGTGGCTTAATGGGCCAGAGAATGTCCATGTATACAATCCCCCAGGGTTTGCTGATGCTGCTGATCCAAAAACCACACTTTGACAGTGAGTGGCCTAGAAGTTCTCTTTCTCCAGGAAGCCTCCCCAACACACTTTTCCCTTCCCATCCCCATACTGAGTTGGTTGCCCCTTCTGTATTCCCTCATAGCAACTTACATTTTCCACTCTGCTATAAATTGCATAATGATTTGTCTGTGTCCTCCACCAGGCTGTGAGCTCTGTAAAGACAGGGACCTTGCCTGTCTCATTCACTGATGGATCCCTAACATGATGTATGTTCATGTCATATATAGGTCCTCAATAAATATGTTTTAATGAATAAAGATACATATGGAAGGGTTTTGTTGCTCTGTCTTTCTCTCCTGTCTCAATGTGTGTCTGTCTGTTTTCCTGTCTGTCTCTATGTGTATGTGTGTGTCTCATGATCCAATTATTTTTTATTCAGAAGGATCCAATGAAAACAGATCAGCAGAGTCCACAGATCTGATTAAAGGAGAGTGATAAGAATATTAAGCTCCAGGTGACATTCAGGGGAGGGCTATATGGAAGCTGGAGATGCTGTCTGCTTTCTGTATTGACTTAAGTAATTTAAAACCAACTAGGTAAAGCAAGTGTTTTGTCAGCCTGTAAATCTGTGAAGTTGCACACAATTCAAGTAAAATTACTGAGAAAAATTCTTGAGAATGCCTTGCCTCTGACTTCACTGGGGAATTTAGCAACAGTTACATAATACTGTTTTATTCCTCTAGCTTTGGCTTATAAATATTCTAGGTAGGTATCACACATACTTGAAATGTTAAAAAAAAAATTCTGATGGACTCAAATTCCAACATCTATCTCCCCATCTTTTTCTCCACCAATAATGGCCCTTCAAAAGTTTATCAAAATTTACCTCTTCTATGAAATCTTCCCAAGCTGACCACCTATATTAGCTTCCTGGGGCTGTTTTAACAGAATCTCACAAACTCAGTGGCTTGAAATAACATAAATGTATTATCTTACATTTATGTAGGTCAAAAGTCCTACGCAGTTCTCATTGGGCTAAAAGCAAGATATCAACAGGACTACATTCTTTTTTAGAGGCTCTAGGGGACAATCCACTAGAAGCTGCCCATGTTCTTTGACTTGTGGCATCTTCCTCCATCTTTTTTTTTTTTTTTTTAGACAGAGTTTCCTTCTTGTCCCCCAGGCTGGAGTGCAATGGCACAATCTGGTTCATTGCAACCTCTGCCTCCCAAGTTCAAGTGATTCTCCTGCCTCAGCTTCCAGAGTGGCTGGGATTACAGGCAAGCGCCACCACGCCCAGCTAATTTTTGTATTTTAAGTAGAGACAGGGTTTCACCATGTTGGCCAGGCTGGTCTGGAACTCCAGACCTCAAGTGATCTGCCCGCCTCGGCCTCTCAAAGTGCTAGGATAACAGGCATGAGCCACCGTGCCCAGCCTTACTCCATCTTCAAAGTCAGGAACAATTCATTTATCTAACTGTTCTTCTAACCTCTTTTTCCACTTTTTAGGGGCCCAAGTGTTTACACTGGGCCTATTTGGTTAATCCACGATAATCTCCCCCATTTTAAGGTCAGTTGATTAGCAACCTTAATTTTATCTGAAAACTTAATTCCCTCTGCCATGTAACCTAACGTACTTATAGGTTCTAAGGATTAGGTTGTAGACATCTTTGGGAGGTCATTTTTCTGCATACAACACAAACCATACATGAAGTTATTTGGTAGCTATCGGCATTTGATCTTCCAATTTTTATGATTCCATAGCAGCCAGAAATCTAGTGACTTTAACTCTAGGTAAATATTGTCAACCCTGATTGCACGGTGGAATCACCTGGGAGCCTCCAAAAATCATACTAATGTTCCAAGCTCCATCTCTGGAACATTAAATCAGAATAATTTGGAACAGAAATTCCGAACTGAGTGATCTTGAGAGGGGCCCAGGCATCAATATTTTTTCAAAGCTCTCCAGGTAATTCTCTGTGTAGTCAGGGTTGGGAACTACTGTTGATGTTAGATAAATTCACATTCCCCAGTCACTCATGTACAAAACCTGGAGTTCCCTTTGATTTACTACATTCTGCCACCCACTGTGGCCAAATAGTCCCCGGTGCAATGTCTTCAACCTTTAAAAAAGTCTCCTTCAACTTCTTTTCTTTCTATTAAAAGCACTAGGATCGTAATTTATGTATTTGTATCTGAACCTCATTTCACCCTCTTCTCTCTAGAGTCCCTTGTCCTTGTTGGCAGAACAATCCCATTTCCTCTACTCTTTGCTTTCCTCTCTCAGATTTCTTGATTCCTGGACTCCCCTCATTTGAGACCTGTATCTGAGCTCTCTTTATTTTTGAAATAATTATCTTGAGTAGATTAGTAAAATGGTTGGTATGGATTAAATGCTTGCATCCCCCCAAAATTCCTGTGTTGACACCTTAACCCCCAATGTGATGGTATCAGGAGGTGGGGCCTTTGGGTGTCATAAAGTTTAGATGAGGTGGTGAGGGTGGAGGCCTCATGATGGGATTAGTGTCTCTCTTCTCTCTCTCTCTCCCTCCCCCCACCTCTCCCTTCCCACCATGTGAGGACACAGGAAAAACATGGCCATCTGCAAGGCAGTGAAGCATCCTCATCAGGAACCAAATTGGTCAGCACCTGGATCTTGGACTTCCCAGCCTCTAGAACTGTGAGAAATAAATGTCTGTTGTTTAAGCTGTTCAGTTTAAAATATTTTGTTATAGCAGCCTGAGCTAACTAACACAATGGTAGTGCTAGGGGAAAAAAAAGAAAGAGACTTAAGGCATCCTCTCATGATGCCATCTCCTCATATTACTGAGATGGGACCAAGGCCCAGAGTAGTTCAGCATCCTGCTCAGACTAACAGAGCTACTTAGAAGCAGGAGCCAGGACTGCAACTCAGTTCTCTTTCGTTCCTTCCTTGAGCATTTAGGAGCATAGACGATGCTCTTATAGGGATTTTGTTTACCTAAGATGCATAAAATATGATCCCTGCCTTCAAGGAGCTCACAGTCTAGTCACCACCAAATAGATAAATGCAGTGATTGAGAAATGCATCTGGTGTGATACTAGTTGAGATGCAATATGTTGTGGTAAGTAAGACCTGTATGCTAATCTTTGCTCTGTATGGTAGATTAAACATGGCTGAAAATTCCTTGATTCTTCTCCCAGTGAGAGGCAGGGTCTTTGTTATTTCTTTTTTTTTTTTTTTTGAGACGGAGTCTCGCTCTGTCGCCCAGGCTGGAGTGCAGTGGCGCGATCTCGGCTCACTGCAAGCTCCGCCTCCCGGGTTCACGCCATTCTCCTGCCTCAGCCTCCCGAGTAGCTGGGACTACAGGCGCCCACAACCGCGCCCGGCTAATTTTTTGTATTTTTAGTAGAGACGGGGTTTCACCGTGGTCTCGATCTCCTGACCTTGTGATCCGCCCGCCTCGGCCTCCCAAAGTGCTGGGATTACAGGCGTGAGCCACCGCGCCCGGCTTTGTTATTTCTTGAATCTAGGAGAACTCTGACTTCCCAAGCAATAAAATATTACAGAAATAACATCATGCCAGTTTCTGGGACCAAGGTCTTAAGTGATTAGTAGCCTCGACCTCTTGTCTTTTGGAATACATGCTCTTGGAACCTATCCATCACGCTATGAGGAAGCCCAAACAGCCATATAGAGAGGTTCACACAGAAAGGAGCTATGAACTCTGGGTAACAGCTCAGCTGCCAGCCGCGTGGTGAGCCATCTTGAAAATAGATTCTTCAGCCCCAGTCAAGCCAGCTGATGCCACATGGAGCAGAGCTAAGCTGTGTCTGCTAAGCCCTGCCCAAATTCCTGACCCATGAAACTGTGGGATATAATAAAATTATTGCTATTATAAGCCATTAACTTTCTGGGATTTGTTCTGCAGCAATAGATAACCAGAGCACCTGGCCAGTTACCAGCTCAGAAAGTTACGG